TGTTAGAAAAGAGCGATAAATATCAGCTATTAATATAAATTAAGGGGAACACAACATACAGTTGTAAACAGCATTATTCAACCCCCATTAAAAATCAGGTTTGTCAATTTACAGACGTTCAGCTGTTTGCAATGAGCATATCAAACGAAGCATTCGCTGGGTTGGGCTACTTCAAAGAGCTGAAAGTCTGTAAATAATATAAATAAATCATTAGATTATCACTAATTGTATTGCGTGAGCCAAAACTACACAAGTTTACCCAGCCAGGTTCAGACAAGGTTGGCACGTTCTACTTTAATGAACTACCTACAGTGTTCATGTGGATGCACCATTCCATTACCAGGGATTATGTTCTTGTTTTGCTCCTAGGAATGCAGAAAAAATGAGATTCTCCTGAGTAAATTAAAGGATCTAACTTCGTGAGCGCCTCACACGGATCATGTGGCAACGGAGGAGGGCTCATGTCAGCTGTGACGTGCAACTTTCCATGTCTCAGTCACGTGTGATGGGAGTTTGTATGTAAAATAAAACATTTATACACATTGGAGTTTGTATTTAGTTTTTAAACATGTTATGAAGTTTCTCAGGATGTCAAGGGAAATAATTCCTACTTTCCCAATAAAAGCGGGGAATTAAGTTAGCACTGTATATATGGCTGGTAATGTGTTCATTTAAGGAGCAGGCTTGCTATAACACAGTAATGTACCATCATGGCCAAGGTGCCAGGAGTGCCCAAGCATTGCCCCCACTACTTCCAGCAGCGCATCGGAAGCTTCTGCAGGGTATAGTTTCCTCATTGGCATAGTATCCGCTAATTACTCTCCCCCAATGAGAGGAGCGGCCGGGGTCAGCTCAGACAGAGGTTATGGTTCTCGGTTGGAAGTAGTGGAGGGAGGGACTGGTGTTTGGTAGACCCCAGGTTAGAATTCAAATCTATCTGAAATGGAATGACTACATACGATGTTGCTCTTCAGTTCACTCCTGGGACCATAACCACTACAGCAAATTTCTATTAGATCCAGGCATTGGGAAGAGTGATGTAATATGGCTGCTTTTAGAGCAGATCCAATTATCCTGTGTAGCGAGAGGAACTCTGCAGGGGTTTCGGAGGTAAAATCAGATACAGGACTGAAGGAGTTGCTCCTAATGATCCAGGAATGTTAATGATTTCTTCTTTTTTTTAATATAGGAATTTCTCCTTTAGGTTTTTCTTTGAGATATCTAACATATATTGGTTTTACTGATCACAGCTAAACCCCCTCCTTGAAGTATTAGTATATTTTCCATAATCTGCATTTAGCGGTCATCCTTTAAATAATTTTAAGGTACCACAAAGAGTAAACTTTATCTAATCTGCTTCGTGAACCCTTTGGTATTACAGGGATCTCATCATTGATGTGAGATGAGATTTGACAGTAACCCAAACTGCCAGAAACTGGTTAGTGTGAACCGTTCCTGGAACCTAGAGATGCTCAAAGCATTGCTAAAGAACTGGGTGATTATTAATCCACAGTAAGAGAATTCAGGACGGGAGTGGGGATTCTTACTTAAACCAGAGGTGAGAGGGGAAAAATAAAAATTGGTGGGAGTCTTTGATCTTGTGTCCACTCTCAGAAAAACACAGACATTGTGATTATTGAAAGTTTGTTTATTCTCGGCCTGGAGCTTGGATCCATCCGCTGGTCACTGAAACGGTTACACCCAGGGAGTCGCGCTGGTGTAGGTACTGTCTACTAGTTGAGAGGTAGAAGGCTGAACTTCAGCTATGCAGTTGATCCAAAAGAAGGCAAAAACCCAATAGTACCCATTTTCAATTATGCCATTATGAGGGCTAGACGGCTTCTTCTCCCCTCCCCCCATCACTAGATACAGTGTCTGCTGCTAGCAATGTATCTAGTTATTAATTTGGATGTCGCAGGATTTAGCCCTCAGCCGTTTGTGGAGGTGTTTCTGGGCAATAATGTGTTGGGGAACATTGTCGCCCAAACTAATTTATATGCCCATCAGTTCCATGCCGCAAAGCCTGACTTTTTTGGCAAAGCAGCAATCGGCCACCATCGATGTGCCAGAATTAAAAAGATTCTGGGCACTGACTATGCTGATGGGCATCATAAAGAAGCCCTCCATCCGCTCCTACTGAAGCAGTAGCCCCATCTGCTCTACCCCCATTTACTCCCAATGTATGTCAAGGAAGAGGTATGAAAGACGTGCAATTCGTTTAGTTAAGAATGGCAATTCGGACGAATTTCGGGTAATTCGGATACATCCAAATAGCCGAATTTCCAAAGCACAGTATTGCCTAAGTACTAACATACCTTCCCAGTGGAAGAATGTTACACTGTATACAAATTTAAATAAAAATTATACAAACATAGCCATGAATCAGCTGTAAGCATTTGCAACAATCAAGTAACACATTCATATAAAATGTAAGTTACTTGGCCAGTCAATGTAATGACAGGAATGAATAAGTAGATAATTCCCATGGTATTAGGGAGTTATCTAAGCGACTGCAAGATAAGTCCCGAAGTGTTGAACTGAAGTGCCGAATTTCGGAATGCCGAGCAGAAAAATGTTCCCCATGCACGTCCCTAATATGAAATGATTCTACATTTCATGCACTTCAGCAATAACAGCCTGTGCCCTCCTAGGGAGCATCCCCAGTTTGACAGGCTGTATAAAGTCCGCCCCCTGATTACCCACGTCGCTGCCAGGTTTGCAGTGGCTTATACACCGGGAAGGAATATATGCGTGGATGAATCCCTGATGAAGTATAAGGGAAGGCGGGATTCAAGCAGTATGTTCCTTCCAAGCGCTCTAGGTATGGTGTAACGATGTATAAGCTCTGTGATAGCAAGACTGGGTATACTCAGGCCTTCCGGGTGTACGAGGGAAAGCCGACCAATGTAATTGTCAGTACACAGGTGGTACCCTTTGTTTATCAAGGGTAATATCCGGTCCCAGACAATCTTGCCACTGGTTTCCATATGTTCTAGGCAACCTGGAGAGTCAAGATGGAAACCAACTCTCCAGGTTGCCTAGAACATATGGAAACCAGTGGCAAGATTGTCTGGGACCGGATATTACCCTTGATAAACAAAGGGTACCACTTGTGTACTGACAATTGTTATACAAGTGTCCCTTTGTTCAAGCTATTGTACTGTTTTGATACAGTAGCTTGTGGTACAATCAAAAAGAACAGCACAGGTTTCCCAGGACAACTTGCACGCACCCGGTTATGAAAGGGGCAGACCTCAGCTCTGTGCCAAGAGGAGCTGTTGGCAGTTAAGTACAGAGACAAGAAGGATGTGTACCTTCTTACCACCATCCCCACTGAGGGGGACTGTGGGGGTCCCTGTATGTGGCAGAGCGGAGAGGACAAGGAAGCCAGTGTGCATCAAGGCCTATAACCGGCATATGGGTGGGGTTTGATCTGGCAGATCAGCTGCTGCAGCCCTACCTAATTATACAAAAGACAAGGGCCTGGTACAAAAAGGTTGCAATCTACTTTTGTTGTGCATAAAAGCAAACCCTGGAATGCATTGGAGACTGTAAAAACGATACCACACACTGGTCCAATTTTTTATTTTTGCATTACATTTACCCTATGCGTGGGGGTCTTGGGTGTACTCAGGAGGCCTTGCAGAAAACAACCAGGAGTGTGTTATTTGCAATAACCAAAAACAGGTTCCCCTGAATCACTCACAAGCGTGTGTGTGTAAAAAATGAAAATTAAAAAAATAAAAATGACAATTTGACTAAAACGACTGCATCAAAGGCATCAAGACACTCCATATAGAATACTGCGGGGTGTCAACTTTTTAAATATATGCACGCTCATGGCAAGAAAATAAATTGGGATATGTAAAAAAAGCCCCCCAAAAAGATATGTCAAATTTGAAAAACGTGTCAGAGGTTTGGCATTGCACCCCCCAAACAACCCTATGCATAGGTGGTATCACTGTACTCAGGAGATGTTGCTGAACACATATTAGGTGTTACTGACAAAGAACACCCCAACAGAACTAAGAATCCATGCCATCCTAAAGTAAAATAAGTTAAAAATAACAAGAAAATGACAACCCAAAAGTTTGACAAAGATTGGTGATAGAATTAGTGCGTGGAAAGTGCTAAAATACCACCATTTGAAATACTCTGGGGTGTCTACCTTTCAAAAATATATGGTTTGATGAGGGCAAATTACATTGGTCGGCTTCAAAAACGTCCCAAACAGGACATGGGTGCATGATGACCAGCTGTGAAAATTCAAAGTTAAAAAATGGAATGCGCACCCTTCAAATAAGGTCTTTTAGCCCCCAAAGAAACCCGACACCTGTACATGGGTGATTTCACTGTACTCAGGAGATGTTGCTGAACACATATTGGGGTGTTCTTTGGCAGTAACCCTTAAAGTTCTCCGTACATTTATTCTTAAATTGCTATGTGTGTTAAAAGAAATCACCAATCTGTGTTTTTCATTAGGCATAGATTGGTGGTAAAATTGTTGCATGAAAAGAGTCAAAATGCCCCAAGTTTAATACCTTAGGTTGTCTTAAAAAAAAAAATACACACACACACATATATATATATATATATATATATATATATATACACACACACACACACACACACACACACACACACACACACGTGAAGGGTTATTCAGGGATTCCTGACAGTGTTACAATGTAACTGGTGTTAATTTTGAGAAAAAATGGTTTGGAAATAGCAAAGTTCTACTTAAACTTATTGCCCTAGAACTTGCAAAAAAAGCCAAGAACATGTTAACACTGGGGGATTTCTAAACTCGGGACAAAATTTAGAAACTATTAAGCATTGGAGGTTTTTTTGGCGATTGTAGATGCGTAACAGATTTTGGGGGTCAAAGTTAGAAAGTGTGTTTTTTTATTTTTCATCATTTTATAATTCTCTTATAGTAAATTATATAATATAATGAAAATAATGGTAACTTCAGAAAGACCATTTAATGGCGAGAAAAACGGTATACAATGTGTGGGTACAGTAAACTAGTAAGAGGAAAATTACAGCTAAACACAAACAACGCAGAAATGTAAAAAGAGCCCTGGTCCTTGACAGTAAGAAAAAAAAAAATGGTCTGGTCACTAAGGGGTTAGAGGAAATGGAGTGGGGTGCCATCACAGTCTTTTAGGGGCCGTTTGCAGTCCCTCCTTGCATAAATTGTCATTATACGTTAAGCACTGTGAAATTTGTTGGCGTCATGTAAAACGGTAATAGCCTTATCCCTCTATCAGCCATTGTTTCAAGTCCAAGATTGGCTAGTTTGAGATCTGCTCCACTTGCAAGTTAGTATTAGAAAATGCAGGGACAACCAACTGACCGACACTTACACAGCCCAACTCAAAACGGAATTTGCAAAACTGACAATTCTTACGCAGGTAGCCTAGGTTGCGGACACTGTCCCCCTGCCAGAGAGCCAGCAACAGACTCTCCTCCATGATGGGAGCTCACTAGGCTGTGTGGGAGGAAAGGCACAACTGACAGGCAATGGCAAGCGGCTGGGGGAAAAACCCTGAATTGCTGGTTAGAATTGTAAATCCCTGTGCGTTTATCACCTGTTACACACAACACTGAACTATACATTGTCAGCCTCTGATCTGCGCGTGGACAGGACTAATATAGAATATATGTGGGGGTGGGGTGGGCGCGCAAGCCGAATTAGTGCTTTAAAAAAAAATATAAAAAAAAAAAAATATATATATATATATATATATATATATATATATATATATATATATATATATACACACACACACACACTTTAGCCGGAACTTTGTAGTACATAAACAGGAGCAAGGATGATACAAGACAGAATACAGTTTAGATGAACGCTATACATTTATTGTATAAATGCACATTTGAGCTTGAAGAAAGTCTGTAAAGATCACTGTGCGGCTAACGAGAGAACGTTTAGAAAGAGCTAAACGGAATGTAAGATACATTAGTCCAGAGAACCCATTTATGAAACAGAATTCCTCCTGGACCCAGTGAGACACAATAACATCCAACTCGATGCATCAATACCGTCTGTGAAGAGAAACAAATGAAATCCTAAGTAACCCAGCCAGTGGCTGTCTGTTACACCCCGCCAGTGCACAGAAGGCTGCAGTATAGAGCAGTCTTATTCCAGACCTGTTAGAGGATAATTTCTGCATCTTACACCCAACACAAGCTCCTGAGATGTCAAATAAACATACGGCTTTTGGAGTCTTTGGCAAGATTTAAAACAGACACCTCAGCGAGTAAACTGGCGCCCCCCTCCTCGGCCACTCTTGTTAATATGTTTGAATATCTTGGCTTTGTACATGTTCTTGGGTTTCTGGTAGCCAAATCCACCACCGCCTCCTCGCTTCTGCAACTTTTTTCCGCCGCTGCTGTTAACATCTGAAAGTTTGGTTAAAGAAAAGCTACAGGATCTACAGCAAAACCCAATTTACCTCCATTCTCTCCCACCCCCTTAGCACAATAACCCCCATCCACATAAGTTTAGAAAGGATACTCAGATCCACATAGGGAGGAACTTGAAAGCCGAAGGACAGGCACACTTTTGGGAGATCCAGGGTGTTCACATCGAATATCTGCTTGTGTGAATGGGAGTCGTATGCGCGGATATAAGCTTTGTAAGCTTCCTGGGCAGATTTGTGCAGATAATAGTTCTTTTCAATCAGCTTCTCCAGCTAAAAATAAGAAGATAAAATTGATAGCCAATTTGAACAAATCATGGTGCTTGTCGAGACACGGTCTGTTCATTCCCAGTAATAGATCACATATTGCACTCAAGTATCAGAGTCTGACCATCCTTTTTAAAAGATGGCAAAGAATTTAGATTAAAGGACCACTCTAGGCACCCAGACCACTTCAGCTTAATGAGGTGGTCTGGGTGCCAGGTCCAGCTAGGATTAACCCTTTTTTCTATAAACATAGTTTCAGAGAAACTGCTATGTTTCTATTAAGGTTAATACAGCCTCTAGGGCTGTCTCATTGACAGCCGCTAGAGGGCTTCCACGCTTCTCACTATGAAAAGTCACAGTGAGAAGACGCCAGCGTCCATAGGAAAGCATTGTGAATGCTTTCCTATGGACTGGCTCCTGCCGCGCATGCACATTCAGCCGGAGAGGAGGAGGAAACCCCCCTCCCCCCGGCACTGGAGAAAGAGGTAAGTTTAACCACATCCTCCCCCCAGAGCCCGGCAGGAGTGGGGGCACTATAGTGGTCCTTTAAGGTAGTTTTAAACATGAAAAAGATTTATATTATATACAAAACACACGTATAGTGCTATTAACCCCTTAACGACCTCGGCATTTTTCCATTGCCGACCGGTGCCGGTCCTGAACCGTCGGCGCTCCCAGTGTGGGGAGACTGCCTGCAGCCCAGACAGTCTCCCATGGCAGATTAGGACCCCTGTGGCCATGTGAACGCTCAGAGCAGTCACATGGTCTCCCTGCTAGTGTAAAAATCATTAATATAAAGTTAATTTAAAAAAAAAAAATACAAATAAAAAATAGTCATACTAAGTGTATTTTTATATTATGTAAATATAAAAATACTTACTAAGTTACACATATATACACATAAATAAAATACAAATAAGATTAAAATAAAAAATGTTAAAAAATTATATCTATATGAAATTTTACTCTAACTGTATTTTGATATTAAAATATATATAGTTATATCAAAATACACTTAGAATAAATTGTATAAATAAATACGAAATATACATATGTCCATATACAAAATTACATAAATTTCATAAATAAACACAAACTTCAAATAATATGCATATATTTAAATTCTACGTGCGTATTTATATAAATATTTTTACATACTTAATTTTATTGATTGCAATTTGAGGGACCTGCCTGCCAACCCAGGCCAAAATTCCAGAGAATTTAATTTGCTAGCACTGTATTTTACCCTGTAACTTTCTATGACACCCTAAAACCTGTACATGGGGGGGTACTGTTTTACTCAGGAGACTTCGCTGAATACAATTAGTGATTCAAAACAGTAAAACATATGACAGCGATGATATTGTCCGTGAAAGTGACATTTTTCCACATACAAACAGCACTTTTACTAATGATATAGTTGTGATACGTTTTCCTGTTTTGAAACACTAATATTTGTGTTCAGCAAAGTCTCCTGAGTATAACAGTACCCCCCCTGCCCCCCCATGTACAGGTTTTATAGCGTTTTTGAAAGTTACAGGGTAAATTTTTTTTGCATTGAAAATGGCCAGGTTGGTTACATTGCCTTTGAGAGCATAGGGTAGCCCAGGAATGAGAATTACCCCCACGATGGCATACCATTTGCAAAAGAAGACAACACAAGGTATTGCAAATGGGGTGTGTCCAGTCTTTTTTAGTAGCCACTTAGTCACAAACACTCGCCAAAATTAGCGTTCAATTTAGTTTGCTTTTTTCACACACAAACAAATATAAATGCTAACTTTGGCCAGTGTTTGCGACTAGGTGGCTACTAAGAGAGTCTGGACATACCCCATATTGAATACCCTGGGTTGTCTACTTTAAATATACGTACATGTGGGGTGTTATTCAGAGATTTATGACAGGTAATAGTGTTACAATGTCACTATTGATAAATTTGAAGAAAAAAAAAAAAAGTATGTTTTGAAACCGCAATATCCTACTTGTACCTATAGCCCTATAACTTGCAAAAAAAAAAAAAAGCAGGTAAACACTGGGTATTTTTAAACTCAGGACAAAATTTTAAATCTATTTAGCAGTTTTTTGTATTCGCTTTTGTAGAAGAGTAAAAAAATGTAACCCCTTAAGGACCAAACTTCTTGAATAAAAGGGAATCATGACATGTCACACGTCATGTGTCCTTAAGGGGTTAAGGAAGTCAAAAAAAACATGTATTTTCAATTTTTCATCATTTTTTTTCCAATTAAATTACATGAGATTATATAAATAATGGTATGTAAAAAAAGCCTTTTTTGTCCTGAAAAAAAACCACAATATATAATTTGTATGGGAACATTACAGCGCGGAAAATTACAGCTAAACACAAACACCACAAAAGTGTACAAAATAGCAAAGACAGTCCAGTCCTTAAGGAGTTAAAAGGCTTGGGCCAGAACTCTTCCCCATTCCCCAAAAAAAACAAAAAAAAACACACCTGATAAAAAAAAAGCCGACTGCTTACATACCTGAGACTGGATATCAGAAATTTTACTCCACGAGAATTCAAATTCACTCAGTGGTACCTAAAATAAGACCAAACCCAACAGTGAATATCTGCTTTTAACTAGAATACACCACAAGGACTTTGTCCGATACCTGCACATGTGTCCTCCCAGTAACAGCATATTTTACCTTAGCTTGCTTCAGATAACGCAGGAAGCCCAGTTCCTCAGGCCTTAGGATCAGTAAAGCGTGACCTTTCCCATCGATACCACGAGCTGTCCTGCCAACACGATGGATGTATTCCTGAAGGGAATAGGTGCATGTAGGTTACATCCAGAATTCACTGGCACTGAGAATGACTGTGCTAATGCTCCATCACACTACACCAGCTGTAACAGAAGTCAACCAACCTTGGGGTCATCAGGAGGGTCATACTGGACAATCCAGTCTACCTCGGGAATGTCCAGTCCCCTAGCTGCGACATCTGTACACAGCAGAATCCCAGAATCAGCGTTGCAGAACTGGAAAAATGTGGTGGTCCGCTTTGTTTGTTTCTGCTTACCCTGTGGAGTGAAGACACAAGATTAACAGAGAAAGGCGACGTGCGGACACAATGTTGAAGTTGTGTCTACCCTGCCACCAGTGCAACGACGACACAGTGTGTCAAACAATTCTTGGAGGTCCACGGAAAACTCACGTGTATTGCCATCACCGGTAAATCTATGTAATTGAGAAGTTCGTAGTGATATTTCACAGACATGCAGGAGGAGAAGAAAACCATCATCTTCTTTTTGCGATTCTTCTTCAGAAAAGTGAACAACAAGAGGAATCTCTTCTCAGACGGACATACCACATAGCCCTGAGAAATGACCCAGAGGACAATTAAGGCGTGAAATTTCACAGCTAGCACGAGGTCTGTCAATATAATTCTCCCTAAATCACTGCGAAACAACCCGTAATGCCAAGCTCAGTTGGGGCCATGCTGATAATGGAGAGGAGTCTTTAAATAACCACTTCAGGCTCACAAACACTAGGGGTGCACGGTGTAAGTAAGGTTACAGTTTGGGATACCACTTAGGTTTACTCTGAAATCTACTTTTCTTCATCCTGTAACTGGGCGCCTCCATCTTAGCTCCCTGTCAATCATTGTTATAAGCTCCGCCCTTTACACCTGGCAGTCAGCATAGAGAGAACATACAGAGAGCAGGAGAAATGAAATATTTCTCCTCTTCAGTTGCATTTTGTATGTGCCTTGTCTGATCTGGACTGCAATATAATTTGCTAAATCTTTAAAGGAGCACTTAACTCACCAGTTTAATGTAGGTGTTCCAGTCCCTGCAGGCTTTTTAATCTACACACTGCCTTTTTAGAGAACGTAAATACTGGCTGGTAACACCTCTAGGTGCAGTCAGACACTAGAGGTGCTTCCTAGCGCAGTACTGCACAATGTGACGCCAGACGTTCCCCATACAGATGCACTGATTCAATGCATCTCTATGAGAAGATGCTGATTGCGTTTTGCCGCACGTGCACAATAATCTCCCAATGATCTAAAAAGCAATGAGGCGGAAAATCGGTGAGTTTTACGGCTTTTTAACTGTGGACAAGGGGGGCCAGTAACCTAAACTGCTCTCTCAAAACTACAGTGTCAGCAATACAGGTTTGTATGTGTCCCTTTAATATAAATTGAAGAGGAGACATTCATGAAAAAAAAAACATTAATACAAGCTGTAGGTGACTGTTCCTCTTTATAGAGTAACTTACTGCAAAAGTCTTATAGCCCATCTACATCTAAAAGGTAATTTCTCAATATTTAAGATTCAGCACGGTCAATTATTGTATTATTCATGGATTTTCCAATTCCCATTTCCTATCCTCTGAAACCTGACTGCAAACAAAAATGGCAACCATTCAGATTGTGGAGTTGAATGACTAACAGGATAAATTGGGCCACATACCTGTTCCAATCCGTCAACCGTAGCCGTGTCTTTGTGGTCATCCACGCCAACATATAATGGCTCCTTTTTCAGGGAGACCCTAGCCAGATCCTCCACCTTGCGAGTCTGAGTGGCAGAAAACAGCATGGTCTGCCGGCGCTCTGGGAGACAAGGAATATGTGAATGTGATTAGATCCACTGATCATGCTGGGCCCCCGCACAATTTAATCTCCAATATGGATTTTCCCCAAGTAACAAGAGAAAGATTTCTTATATTACAACGAATTAAAAGGATACCCATGAGTTTACTTCTTGGGATCTATACACCTGTGTAGACACTCCAGTAGTGTCCAAAGTGCTTAACCCTAATAACACAGGAAAGATTCACCTAATCCACAATAAAGTGGACGAGGTAAAAACAAAAAAATGTACTCAGTATCCTTAGGTAAATGGGATCACAGTCCACTCTGCACCAATATATACACAAAGCACATATATCCCCAGTGCAAGTGAATTATACTAGCCACGTACCTAGTATAGATAATGGATAACCATTGGGTGCTTAGAATATTAATATACAAGCTTTATTAATTAGGCTTATTTGTAGCATTTTTGATAACCCTTTGTGGGCAAATAGTGCACAGAAAAATAAACCAGTGTACCAAGGTAGACAAGGGGTTAAACCACAGTATTCGTGTTAAAAACAGGGATTAACTAGAGGTCTGACCGTATAAAGCAGCGAGTGAATAGTACTTTCGTTAGCCCTTGGTAGGTAAATAAACCAGGGGTTAAACCATGGTCAAAGTGTTAAGTAAGAGATTGACTGACAGACCATAGTACCATCCAGGTGCAGCATGAATAAACAGATTGGATTATAGCGTACTGTAGTATATTCAGCTGTAACCTAAAATAGCCCAAAGAAAAAAGTACAATGTACAGGAAAGTGATATAGGAAAGAGGTCGCCTGTATATTAATATTCTAAGCACCTGTCTGGATAATCCAATGGTTATCCATTATCTATACTAGGTACGCAGCTAGTATAATTCACTTGCACTGGGGATACATGTGGTTTCAGTATGTATTGGTGCAGAGTGGACTGTGAACCCATTTTTCCAGTTTTTCCCTCGTCCACTTTATTGTGAATTAGATGAATCTTTCCTGCGATAATTCAGCCTTATTACAGAGAGCCTAACACACATCACTGACTGTACATGGCAACGCCTGGCACCTACTTGGCAGCAGATTGATAATTTGTTTCATTTCCTGTTCAAATCCGACCTCGAGGATTCGATCAGCTTCATCAATCACCAGACACTGCAAATTCTTGTACATGAAGCCAGGTGTGTTCTGTTTAAAAGAGACCGAAGATCAATAAATATTGTCAGCACACGTACATCTTCTGCTGGAAATAAACTGACTTTTGAAGCTGCCCACTATTTCAAGACTTGCCTGCATATGATCAAGCAGACGCCCAGGTGTTGCCACCACAATGTTAACACCATTGGCGAGTTTCTGGGCCTCTGCAGAGCGGTTACTGCCCCCCATGATCAACCCATAAGTATGAACATGATGAGCCATCAACTCCTTGAGAACGCCATAGGTCTGCATGGCCAACTCCCGCGTTGGTGACAGGATCAGAACGCCCGTACCTGGAGAGAGAAAGGAGTGTCTGATTAGAATGCCTCAGAGGGGAAAGGGGAATAAACCAGAAGGAGAAAGAAGTGAGGCAAGCAGAACATGCCTTCAATTTAGGCATCAGAATTACTTATGGCTTTAGCTCATCAAGGGTTAAAAGTCAATTGAAGTAGTCAGAACTCACCATTTCGGGGCATAAATTTGAGTTTGTAGATCAGTTCTATAGCTGGGATGAGAAACGCCAGTGTTTTACCACTGCCAGTGCGGGCTGCAGCCAGGACGTCCCTAAAATAAAAACAATTCCTCTCAGTCATTTCCATAATCAAAACCACCTAAACTAGACAGTCTGACACAATATTGCTACTAGAACAGTCCTATCACCACACTTCACAAGGCTCAGTAACATGTGGGCACCGCACAGCATTCTGGGACAGGGCTGGTTCAGCGGCCATGTGGGCACCGAGACACAATTTACTTGTTTAACAAAACTACCCCACAATCGGAGCCAAGCGCATGCTTAGAATCTGACAAAGAAAACTGAATGACAAACTCCATAAAACACTCTGCAGACACTGAAATCGATCTCTCTGCTGTATGAATACAATGATTCTGTCTCCTTACCTTCCCTCTAGCAGGGGCCTGATGGTTTTATGTTGAATTTCAGTCATATGAGTGAAGCCCATTTCAGAAATGGCACGCAGCGTGTTCTCATTTACAGAATCTGCCAGAGAAGAGAACGTAGTGTCCTCAAAAGCACCTGGGAGCAGAATAGGACAAAATGTTAGAATAAGCACTCCCAGAAAAGCACAGGTAAGATATTAGACCAAATCCATCTGTAAAACCCCACCAAGGGTAGAAAAGAGAGCAAAGCAATTCTTAACAAGCTATACAGTCCATCCATTAGAAAGCTACACAACAGAAGATTTGGCATTGTGAGTGAACCCGTACGGTATACGTGAATGTGTCTGGTTACAGCGATCGGTAAGCTATACGGTATACGTGAAAAATTTGGGGAGGGGGGGGGCAGGGGCCTGGCACCCAGACCACTTAATTGAGCTGAAGTGGTCTGGGTGTCTATAGTGGTCCTTAAATGTGTCTGGTTACAGCTATTAAGATTTACGGTATACGTGAATGTGTCCAGTTACAGCTATCAGTAAGCAATGAATGTGTCCAGTTAAAGCCATCGGTAAGCTACACGTGAATGTGTCCAGTTACAGCTAACGGTAAGCTATACGGTATACGTGAATGTCCAGTTACAGCTACCGGTAAGCTATACGTGAACGTGTCCGGTTACAGCTATCGGTAAGCTGTACGTAAATGTGTCCTGTTACAGCAATATGGAATACGTGAATGTGTCCGGTTACAGCTATGGGTAAGATTTACGGTATCGGTGTTCCAGTATCTGTGAGTGAACCACTTATAGCCATAGGATATAAAATAATGCACCTGTTAACCCCATCGGCAAACTGGGTGATTCCTCCTCTTCTTCAATCTCAGCATTAACTGCTGCTGAGTTTTCCTCTTCTAATTCTCCATTTGCCCAGTCCAGGATGTCCTCGGTTTTTACTTTCTTGGCATCTTGTAAAGAAAGAAAGTAATTAGCAAAACACAGCAATACCTTTATAGCCCAGTACACAGAGTCCTTGGACATACACATTAATATAACAGCCCAGTCCGCATTAAAGGACCACTATAGTGCCAGGAAAACATACTTGGGTTCCCCTCACCCTCTGGGCTCTAGGGTGAGGAAGGGGTTAATCCCTTACCCGTTTTTCCCTGCTGGGCTCCCTCGGCGCTGGGGACTCCTCCTCCTTTCCCCGTCACTGGCTGAATGCGCAAGAGCCGCACACAGCCAGTCTCTTAGGAAAGCATTCTCAATGCTTTCCTATGGACGCTGGCATCTTCTCACTGTGAAAAATCACAGTTAGAAGCGCCTCTAGCAGCTGTCAATGAGACAGCCGCTAGAGGCTGGATTAACCCTAGTGTAAGCATAGCAGTTTCTCTGAAACTGTTATGTTTTCAGCAGAAAGGGTTAATTCTAGATGGACCTGGCACCCAGACCACTTCATTAAATGGAAGTGGTCTGGTTGCCTATAGTGGTCCGCATTAAAAGTAAACAGCCCAGTGCGCATTAATATAACAGCCCAGTCCACAGAAGTACTGAGCAATACCTCTTTAACCTCATATAGCCAGCAATCTACTCCGAATAGTTGTACAGCCCCATTATCTTACCAGTCTCTCCCTTGTCACTAATTTTCCTTTTCTTTTTTTTCTTGACTGCGGGTGACTTAGCCGAGACATCATCCTCCCCCTTCCTGGTGCTCACATTTTCCTTGATTTTCTCCTGCAAATCAGCCTCCTCACAGTTCTCTGTGACCTCCACTAATTCAGCACATCCTGCTTTACACAGGAAAAAAAAAAAAAAGTCAGAATGGGAAATAATGCCTGTGGTTTAACCCAATATACATCAATCCATAGACACTCATAACAGTCACCTGCTGCTCTGTAACAGATGGCATAGTACCCCAAAGAGCCACAACCTGCCCAGGATACACATGGCATTACACCTCTAGCTGATGATACTAAGATATGTAACAGGGTTGATGTTCCAGGAGGGATAAGCCAAATGGCAAATGATTTAGGTAAACTAGAAAAATGGTCAGAATTGTGGCAACTGACATTTAATGTGGATAAGTGCAAGATAATGCATCTTGGACGTAAAAACCCAAGGGCAGAGTACAGAATATTTGATAGAGTCCTAACCTCAACATATGAGGAAAGGGATTTAGGGTGATTATTTCTGATGACTTAAAGGTAGGCAGACAATGTAATAGAGCAGCAGGAAATGCTAGCAGAATGCTTGGTTGTATAGGGAGAGGTATTAGCAGTAGAAAGAGGGAAGTGCTCATGCCATTGTACAGAACACTGGTGAGACCTCACTTGGAGTATTGTACACAGTACTGGAGACCGTATCTTCAGAAGGATATTGATACCTTAGAGAGGATTCAGAGAAGGGCTACTAAACTGGTTCATGGATTGCGGGATAAAACTTACCAGGAAAGGTTAAAGGATCTTAACATGTATAACTTGGAGGAAAGACGAGACAGGGGGGATATGATAGAAACATTTAAATACATAAAGGGAATCAACACAGTAAAGGAGGAGACTATAGTTAAAAGAAGAAAAGCTACCACAACAAGAGGACAGAGTCTTAAATTAGAGGGGCAAAGGTTTAAAAATAATATCAGAAAGTATTACTTTACTGAGAGGGTAGTGGATGCATGGAATAGCCTTCCAGCTGAAGTGGTAGAGGTTAACACAGTAAAGGAGTTTGAGCATGCCTGGGATAGGCATAAGGCTATCCTAACTATAAGATAAGACTAGGGACTAATGAAAGTCTTTAGAAAATTAGGCAGACTAGATGGGCCGAATGGTTCTTATCTGCCGTCACATTCTATGTTTCTATGTCACTAAATCTCACCCGTCTCCTGCTTGGTCTCTGCACCTTTCCTTTTCTTCTTGAGCTTTGGAGACTTGGCAGGGATGGCAATGTCCACCTCAACTCTGGCCACTCTATTTTCACCTACAATCTCCTGCACCACAGAATCCGATGGCGGCAGATTTTCTAGAGATATAAAGAAAACATTTTACAGAACTAGCTCCCAAACAGAGTCTATAGGATTAAAATAATGGTGCTGGACTATAGAATCCATTCTGTCCATTTTTTTGGTATTAAAATAACGATTAATCACCCTGTTTTGTCAGATATTGTGTAGGAAGGAAATATGTGTATAGTGTGTTATAAAATAATACAGGCATAATAGCAAAAATGCTATTTAGCTAATATGCCATTAGGTGCTAAAATGAAGAAACAAGAAGTTTTTCTCAAAGTACCCGTCAGCTAAAAGAGCGAGACAGCGAGTCAATACATCTGTGTCAATAAAAGATAAGACAAGTATGTGTTCAGCAAACACACACATAGCTTTGAGGTATATAAATTAAGTTTAATTATATATAAAAATAGAAATATAGTGTGATATAGCCTAAGTTAGCAATCTATAAATATATAGAAACTATATACATACAAAAATGTAATTAGCATTGAGATAAATTAAGTTAGCTTAAATATCCTGAAATTGCTTTAACACTTAGGTGAGCCAGGAAACATTGGTTAATTGGTATGAGACCAAAGTCCACATTGAGAGGAAAAGAAAAGCTGACTAAAGCATCTTGAAATTAAACATTCCTAAATTGTCCTAAAAAAAGAAAAAAGTTTAACCCTATATGATAATAGCTGGTAATATTCCTGACATAAGCCAACGGCTCCACCTGCTGTTTGACATAAAAATATACATCAAAATGATGTTAACAGCCATTAACATAATGACTTGCACCAAAATGTCATTGGACCAGGTCAGAAGGTTAACAGATAAGGAATGAAATAACCCCATGATATGCACACACGCACACACACACGGAGAAAGGAGATGGACACAAGACAAGAGACGGACAAGAAGACATTTTGAAACAATCTTAAAAATAACATCCAGAAAATATATCGGTAAATATAAGCCAATTATTCCAACTATAAAATTACATAACTAAAAGCTAATATTTTCTGGTTAAAATATGATCTGAAAAAAGTCAGGGAGATTGGGTTTCATGATAAAGATTGATATTTCAAACTGCAGACTGTTTTTCCGATGTTGTACATTTGCGACCAGGCATATTTTTACACTTTTGTGGTGTTTGGCTGTAATTTTCCGCTCTCATTTACTGTTCCCATACAAATTATATATTGTTTTTTTCCAGGACAAAAGGGGCTTTCTTTACATACCATTATTTATATAATATCATGTATTTTAATTTAAAAAAATAAAAATATGATGAAAAATTGAAAAAAAATACATGTTTTTTGACTTTTACTTGAAAAATATTTTACTCATCTACAAAAGCGAAGGAAAAAAACTGCTAAATAGATTCAAAATTTTGTCCTGAATTTAAAAATACCCAGTGTTTACGTGCTTTTTTTGCATGTTATGGGGATATAGGTACAAGTAGGATATTGCGGTTTCAAAATATACATTTTTAAAAGTTAATAGTGACATTGTAACACTATTATCTGTCAAATCTCTGAATAACACCCCACATATACATATTTTTTTTTTTAAAGTACACAACCCAGGGTATTCAATATGGGGTATGTCCAGTCTTCTTTAGTAGCCACTTAGTCGAAAACACTGGCCAAAGAAAGCATTCATATTTGTTTGTGTGTGAAAAAAGTAAAAAAAACTAAATTGAACGGTAAGTTTGGCCAGTGTTTGTGACCAAGTGGTTACTAAAAAAGACTGGACATACCCCATTTGCAATACCTTGGGTTGTCTTCTTTTGCAAATGGTATGCCATCATGGGGGTAATTCTCATTCCTGGGATACCATACGCTCTCAAAGGCAACGTAACCAACCTGGCCATTTCAAATGTAAAAATATTTGACCCTGTAACTTTCATAAACGCTATAAAACCTGTACATGGGGGGTACTGTTTTACTCGGGAGACATCGCTGAACACAAATATTAGTGTTTAAAAACTGGAAAACGTATCACAACAATATCATCAGTAAAAGTGCTGTTTGTGTGTGAAAAATGCAAAAAAGTCACTTCCACTGACAATATCATCGCTGTGATATGTTTTACTGTTTTGAATCACTAATTGTGTTCAGCGAAGTCTCCTGAGTAAAACAGTACCCCCCATGTACAGGTTTTAGGGTGTCATAGAAAGTTACAGGGTAAAATACAGTGCTAGCAAATTAAATTCTCTGGACTTTCTGCCTGGGTTGGCAGGCAGGTCCCGCAAATTGCAATCAATAAAATTACTGAATTATGTAAAAATATTACTTAACTACACACGTAGAATTTAAATATATATGCATATTTATATATTTGAAGTCTACGTGTATATTTATATAATTTTGTATATGGACATATGTATATTTCGTATTATTTTTATTTATACATACATAGATTTGTGGTCAAGGCATAAAGCCGTGGAGTTAGTAACTTTAACCAAACAGGACATGAAAAGTCAGTTGGGGTGTGCTGTAACGGACGACGTAGTAGGCCTGAAATAAAAGAGGGCCTACCTCAAGAAATCAATTAAATGATTTAAAGGAGGAGAGGTGGGTGGGACAAATCTCAAGACCTGAGCCGGTAGCAGGTGAAGGGCTGGAGCTCCTTAAGAAGGGGAACCAAGCCCCTCCCACAACTTCAGGCCCTGCCTTCCATACACACACACACACACACACATACATATCCATTCTAAGCGTATTTTGATATAAATATATATTATTTTTAAAATACAGTTAGAATAAAATTTCATATAGATATAAATTTTTTAAAATTATTAATTTTTTTTATTTAAGTTAAATTACTTATTTATATTTTATAATTATATATACAGATTATATATATATATATATATATATATACGCATGTAATTTAATTATAAGTGTATTTTTATATTAATATAAGTACATATTAATATAAAAATATACTTCGTATGGCATTATATGACATATTATATATAGATATATATACACACATATATAATTTTTTATTTTCAATTACTTTATTTATTTTTTTTACTGATTTTACACTAGCAGGGAGACTGCCTGACAGCACAGGCAGTCCCCCTGCAGGCAGACACTTGGATACCTATTGTGATCATGTGATCGCTGTGTTAAGCGATCACATGGCCCCAGGGGTCCTAATTCAGTGTGGGGAGACTGTCTGGGCTGCAGGCAGTCTCCCCACACCGGGAGCAGCGCCGATCGCCGCTGGGGGAACGATGGCGATCAGGTAAGTACATTGGACCGTTAGGACGGTTCAGGACCGTCATCGGTCGGCAATGTAAAAATGCAGATGACAGTCCTGAACCGTCCTCGGTCCTTAAGGAGTTAATCAAAATAATGAAGAAAAAAAAAAAAAAATAGAATATCAAGAGTTACCCAGGAATATATTAATCCTATAACAATCTAGGGAATATTTACGAGATAAGAACCGTTATAACTAAACCTGCCAAAATGGATCAATTAATTACTCTGAAACAGCACTGAGCTGGTTAAAATTATGTGGCTAGCAAACTTTGCACTTGAGTAAATAAGGAACTCTGTCAAGTCTAATGAATGGTGCTTACAATAAGCAAACAATCCACATGTTTTTGTAAACTGTACTAAGAAGCAAAAAGCGAATGTATTTTAAGATCCTGAAAAGGTCTGTCTTTAAATTATAATAATCCATATGCTGATAAACTCATATGGTTCCTTATAATTTAACAAATAGTAACATTCTATTTGCCAATTGTCTTAATAGTGTATTAAGAAAATATTCCATATACTAACACGGTTGATTAAAGTTGCCATGAACTAACAATCCTATCACAGAGATTGTGACACGGTACTATGCCATCTCTTGTTCAATATTATTGAAAACTATTCACTAATTACAATGTATAGTTACACTTATTGACAAAAATAAACAATTTTTATAGAGAGTTGTATTATTAATGTATGAAATATTAAATTCAAACGACGTGCTCTAGATCTAAGTTAAATAGTGGGAACTCTTTGCTTTTAAATTAATAGTTGGGAGTTAGTGCCAATAAAATATCAATTTTAATAAAGATTAAATTAAGAATGAACCCCTATAAATATCCACACAGTTTCCAGGACTGCACTGCCTGCTGACAGATCCGATTTTCCCCATTCCATTGCTTCTCAGAGAATTGAACGAGTCAAGCAAGGCCGAACGCCACACTCCTCCAAACACATGCTGCGATCAGACTTCAGCACTGAGATTCACTCCGTTCGGGAGGAGCCATTACAGCTGGATGTAATATTATATATGGATCAGGGCTTGACAAATTTACTTTGAATATAGAAGCCATTTTTTTCCACTACAAAAATACAATTTTCAAGGGAACACTATAGTCAATAGAACCACTAAAGCTTAAACGAACACTATAGGGTCAGGAACACAAACATGTATTCCTGACCGTATAGTGTTAAAATCACCATTTAGGTGGCTTGCCCTCCCCAACCCCCTTAAAAGGTAATAAAACATCGTATTTCCAGCACCGCACGGGTCTGCCCCCACCCCTGTTCTGCCTCCTTGTCAACATCATCAGAAATTTTGATAGGGAAAGTATTAGATTGCCTGAAATCGTCAAGGAGGCAGGACGGGGCAAAATGCTGGCTTAGTCATCCAGCACCTCCTCATAGAGATACATTGTATCAATGCATCACTATAAGGAAAACTCAGTGTCTGCATGCAGAGGGTGGAGACACTGAATGTCAGTCACACAGTGCAGCACTGCCCCAGGAAGCATCTCTAGCAGCCATCCGAGGAGTGGCCAGTGGAGGTATCCCTAGGCTGTAATGTAAACACTGCCTATTTTCTTTGAAAATGCCTGCAAAGACTGATTATACTCACCAAAA